ATTGCTGGGCAGTTGTGCTGTGGAGAAGCCTCGAGCTCCTGTGGCAGGACGAGCACAGGGCAGTGCCAGGGTCTGCCTGGGGGAGATCCCCCCGGGCCCGGCCGGTGCTGCTGCTCTTTGGGAAGTGGGACATTGGTGGGTCCTTCCGAGGAGGGAAATGAAGATGCTGAGCAAAAGAAAGCAGAGAAGAGCAGTGCCCTCCTTTTCTGCGGGGCTGCCAAGGGGGCACTAAACCTGCAGAGCACTGAGCCATGAGCAGAGAGAAACAGAGTTCCTGCTGTGCCCATTCCCGTTCCTGCTGTGCCCACTCCCGTTCCTGCTGTGCCCATTCCCGTTCCTGCTGTGCCGACTCCTTTTCCTGCTGTGCCCACTCCCATTCCTGCTGTGCCCATTCCCACTCCTGGTAATGCCCAGCCTGCTCCCAGTGTCCCTGTTCCTGTCCCCAGTGTCCCCATCCTGGTCCCCCCTGTCCCCATTCCCATTCCTGGTTCCCAGAGAGGAACTGCCAGACACAGAGGAGGGAACCAGGATTTATTGCCCAAAGCAGGAGATTTTCACCCCCCAATTAAAGAATCAGGAATAATTGTGGTCCTTGGCTTTCAAACATGAAAAAGCAGGAAGTTGATCCATCAGGAAGAGCAACAGGGTGGGTGGGAGTGGTGGATGGAACTGGCAACAGATCCCAAGCAGGGGCAGCACCAGCCAGAGGAGATACCACCCCCTGAGGCAGAGTGTGGTCCCCACACAGCCTGGGAAGGAGGTTCCCCTCCCGAGGGAACTGTCCCCAAACCAACCCTATTTCCTTAAAAAGGAACTTGTGCAGCTCTGGGGGGAAATCATTGCCAGGAGGTTTAATCCCTGGGAGAGATAATGGATGAGGGGCAAGCTCTGGGTTGTGTCCATGTATTTGTTAGAAAAACAAAGCAAAAGTTTGGGGCCTGACATTCTTCAGTGGTCCCAGACTGGGAGAGAAATTCATTGTTTAGAGCTGGACAAGCAGAATGCAGGATTTATAAACCACCAGGACACATCACAGGAACCAGAGATGCCCTGTCTGGGGAAAAGGGAACAAAAAGGGCTGAAAAATGTGCACCAACCAGCAAGAGAAGTGAGAGATCAATAACCAAGAGAGGATAGAACACTAATTAAGGAAGAGAACCACGTGACTTGTAGCCAATGAACACTAATTCCTTTCTTTGCTGAAATGTATACAGAGTTCAAAGTTTTGATAACTGAGGTACATGTTTTTTGGAGTAATCCCCACGCACCTTAACAGTGATTCAAGTAATTAGAGTTGATTAATGTCAGCTTTCCAACCCCACAGACTGTTCCGAGAGTTTATTTCCTGGTTTTCAGTGGCAGTCCCAAAGGCCACCTTTCCTTTCTCAGCTCAGCAGCTGGAACAGGTTTTATTGACAGAATCAGTAAATATTGTCCAGTGGAAAGTCAAAGCCAAT